TTATATATTCAAATATAATATTTATTTGTATATATAATTTGTTATAAATTTTAGTTACATATAATAAATATTTAACCTCACTAAAAGAAATATTATATATGGTACGACATACACAAATGTTACTATATACAATATGTGTAAATATAAATTTATTTAACACACAATTTTAGTATTTATTTTGAATAAACTTTAACAACATATTTTATATTATTATAACTTATACTTTCACTTTTTAACAATATACTCTCTTTGTTCTCTATTTTGAGCAAAAATATCTAATTTTACACATATTAAAAAAGTTGATTATTTGCATTAAATTTTACTACTCCCATAAGATTCTTTCTAAATTGTCCTTGTTATAAATATCAAAAGAAGTAGTACAACTGAAAGGTCATGTATTAAATAAAAGATATTTTAAAGAAATATATTAGTAAATGATGCAAAAGTAATTAAATTTATTTATATTTAAAAATAAGAGATGTATTTTTTTTATAATAGAGAACAAAGAGAGTACCAACATATATTGTATCTATAATGTAGGTAAAAGTTATTTTTAGTGATGTGTATTGTGTTAATATATAATATATGTTTTTATATGACAATTTTTTTTTGTAATGTCTACGAAATAAAATGCTAAAATATTAGTAGTTATTATAAAAATCAATAAATTTAATTATTTTACATGATAATTCGTGATCCAATGTTATTGTAAAAATTCTTTAGATGCATAAACTATTTACTCAATATATATAACAGAAATGTTAATTATGAATTATTAATGTCTATATGTCAATTGTAAAAATATATGTAATATTTACATGCATCTGTTGATGTTAATTATCAATAGGTAGATTTAATGTTACTGCAGAAATGTGTCCTCATACAAAATGTTGATGTTAATTTTTAACGGATATCTAATTTAATGTTACTACAAAAATGTGTCCTCGTGCAAAATGTTTTATTCAAAAAAAATAAACATATGTAGTAACTGATTTGATAATAGGTTTTTAAATTAATAAAAATATGTAAACAATATATGGAAGGGCATAATGGTAAGTTAACTCAGATATTTTATATTACCCTTCTTCATTAAGAAATATCATTCGGACTATATGGACATTATAGGTTGGAATAAAGTGGTGTAAGCTTGCAAATTTATGTAACTAGAATAAGGACAATACTCATGAATCGAAAGAAACAAAATTTAAATTTAAGAAAAATATCCCAGCAGAAAAGGGATCACCAGTTTTTTCGGCATTAAAGCTTGCAAACAACTAGGAAAAGTATAATTAATCATTGTATTTGTTTCCCTCTAGAAGAGATTAGATATAACAAAGAAAGCTTAAGCTTGAATTATTGTAACGACCTAGAGAGGCTTTATAAGCAAACTACCAATATATGTATATACATACATCATCTTCAACAAAATAAACAAGAAAATTGCATTGATTAGTAATCTCATTGATTCATTGTTCTTTCTCACAAAGGACTACAAGTTATAGCATGGAATGATTCATATAGACCCATAGTGATTGAGAAACTAGCTAGTTTTATTGCTCAATTAATTTTACCTTCGTTTTTAGCTTTAATTGCAGCATCAAGTTTGTTTGAAATTTCAATCAACTATGCTATCAAAATTATTAAGAGCTCGTAAGGCACGCCAAGGTATGTTCTTATTACTTCAGTTTTTTCATTTTGACTACTTAATTTCTTCACAGCTTTAAAATCCTTGCAACATGTGAGCTGGTTAAAGCCAGCGTTTTTTCAAAACAATCTGGTGTTTAATTATCCAATAAATGTTTTGCATAACCTTTGAATTAACTCATTTCCTTGTTTATGTAAGGAAAATGTTATGGTCGAATTAATTGTTGAAAAACCTATAAATTCCTAGCTCTTATAGCAAATTAGCAACTTTTTTTCAAGATCAGATTAAACAATTTTATTTTTGTAATCAGTACGCTCTCTAAAACCATATATGATTGAATTTTCAAAAGTAAATAAATACGGCACAACTTGAGAGGTTAGACAGAAAAGCTTGCACTACTTGTCAAAAACTGGAAGTTATTTCTCCCCCTGTCCCTAAATTAATGAATGCAAGTTGTTTAAGTTATTTCTTAATTTGGTATTCTTGTAACATAATTTGTTTTGTCAAATCTCAAACATTATTCATGTTTTGAATAAACTTCTTGTACACTGCATTAATTTCTTATATCTTATTTAGGGAAGATTAATTAAGTATATAGTTTTTTAAACATTTATTTAATATTATATATATATATATATATATATATGAGAATTTATTTACAAGCTTTACTCATAAATTTGTTGAAATAAGTTGAGAAATACTTATTTTATTAAGCTTTTGTGTAAAATATAAGGGACGTTTTGGAATAATTTAAAAAAATCTATTTTGAATTTAAAAAAAAATTCTTAAAAACTCTTTTTTATTTATTTATTATTATTATTATTATTATTATTTCAATTTCAATTAGCTTCTCGGCATAATAAATGAGAATAATCTCTTTTTATATGCTAACAAATTTTATGATTGGAAACTTGTGGCATAAACCTAATAAAAACTTATTGAATAAATATTTAATTTAAGTTATTTACTTAACGGTACACACCCTAAAATAAGATATAAATTAATATTTTTTTCCTTATTTTAGAATGTGTTAAGTAAAATAATATTTAATTTCCCAAATATCTTATTATAAGTTCTACAACTTATAAAATGGTTATGAATCAGTTTCATAAATGCAAATAATATATCTTCCCAAACACCTCTAATTTGTACCATATCTTTTAGAATAAGTTATTATGATGCAATCTATTTGACATTTGATTGATAGATTATGTTTCTTTTGTTTCAGATGCCAAGCAACAAATTAGTGATTCCCCCAGAAGTGTAAATTTCCACGAGGAGTACCACAGGGTTTTAAGGACAAAATCCTATGCTGATTTCTTTAACAAAGCTCAAATACTTGCAAGCCAACCTTCCATTTTTTTCAACCAGAATAAATTTTCAGAAATTCTCCTAGAACCAAGCCAAGAAACTATACATTCCATTATTGACACACCAATCCTTTCAAAGACACCAGAACTAAAGAATCTCATGCTAAGCTACTTTGAAATCAGTGCTGAGGTTTCACTCATTTGCAGCTATGTTCTCAAAACAATCAACCAAGTCCAGTGTAATTATCATTTCATTGAAAGAGCCCTAGACATCATGGATGGTGTTGATGACTCTCCAGAAAAAGTCAAACTAATCATTTTTGAGCTCAACTCATTCATCTTCTCAAATAACCCTTTTTCAGACCTCAACAATCATGACTTCAAGCTCATTAGTGGTAAGCATTCATTAGTGTTGCATAGTTTGACATCAATGAGAAAAAGGATGGGAAGGAAAGTTAAGCTAATGACATATTTGAAGGAGACATCAGAAACTTGTGTTAAAGTAGCATGTGGCTTAGTGCCTATCACAACAAATGTTATAGCAACACATATTTTAGCTGCACCAACCATGGGGCAAACAATTCTTGGTTTTCCATGTACTGAGAGACTTAAGAGGAAGCTTCCACACTTGAGGTTTTCAAGAAAGTTTCTTAGTAAAGTTTGTGATCAGCTTGACATAGCATCCAAGGGAACTTACATATTAAATAAAGACTTTGATACAACGAGTAGAGTTGTGGCTCGGCTTTGTGATGAAATTGAACACAACAGAGCAATGGTGCAACTCTGTTTGGACAAGAAAGATGATAAATTCTCTTTGCAGATAGTGAAGGAGCTTAAGAAAAGTGATGCTGGGTTTTGGAGACTGGTGGAAGAACTTAAAGAGCATGTGTACTTGTGCCTTGTGAATATTAACCAAGCAAGATGTTTGCTTATTAATGAAATGACATAAATATGTGCAGAAGGCATTGGAATTACTCATCCACCATTTTATCATGGCACAATACTCAAATCCTATGTTTGAATGATATTTCTGTAATTATAAATCTTACAGGTAAAGAAACAAAAGCCTTATTTGAATGTAAACATATATGTGTGTTGGCACGCACACGTGTTTGTGTGTGTGAAACCTGTATAATGTTGTTAAGATTTGTTTAAATTTCTTTAAATCATTATTAGAATAGTGATTTTGTTAATTTATCTGAGGAGGTAGGGGAAATTTGAGAATGAAATGTATATTACTATAAGTTTTATCTAATAAATAGAAACAATAGGTAACTGAGTTTTTCATTTTTCGTAAATATTTTCTTTCAAATGAACAATCTTATTTGAAACATAGTTGTTATTGAGTTAAGGTTGTTTTTAGTGAATATATATATATATATATATATATATATATATATCATTAATTAAAGATAATTTTATTCAAATCAATAATAATAAGTATAATAGCATCTCTACAAAGTCTACTAAATACTGAATTAGCTTTAAGATACAATGTATAACACTAATATACTAACTATTAAAATCTAATTGAATCAACAGCGGTTGTCATAAAATCATTTTCAACTCACAAGTTATTTTATTTATAACTTAATTAGGAAAATTTCATCGAGATAGATCATTTTGGAATTGGATTTCTGCTGAAATAGAGAGGGTTCCCTTATTCAAATCGACATACCAGTCAATAGTGTCTACTGTATTTCATAATTTTGGTTTTTCATTTTTTCTTTTAAAAAATAGTAAAGATAATGCTTAGACTTGATAACTCAATCATTAAAATTAAAAATATTTGGTATATTACAATTTACAGCGCCACTTAGAAGAAGCTGATGAATTGTTCAATGCAATTATATAGATTTTATTCATATTAAAAATTATGTTTTGGATATATTGATGGAATCCATTTTTTGGATAAGGTAATTTCCTCGTATAACATTACTCCGTTTGATATAAAATACATTTCAAAAAAATCTTTAAGGCATATATATGCATTTCAAACTTTCTTTTTTTTTATCAGATAAAAATAATATATTACTAGGGGTACCAATACCATATGAAAAAGCATACAATATTGTCGCATGAAGCTAGTTACAACAGAAAAAATATGCCTACCAAAACAAGTTTCCCACAATAACTAAGTTCTATGTTAGAGAAAATAAAAGGAACAACTCCTTTAACATGTACAAAGTATATGCAGTAAATGATATGTTCCATAACCACAAAACTTGGAGTCATTTCTGCTGTAAATACACAATTTCTCTGTTGTTCAAGTATAAAACAGAATCACTATCTTCAGTCGTCCAAGCACAATCCTAAGTTAGCCATCCATAGTGCAAAAGTATATCTAAAATCCACATCCTATATTCGAGCCAAAACCATGTTGTAAGCAACAGATCCTTAAAAATCTACTTGCTATTAAAACAAATCCCATTAAAAACACATTAGTTTCTATGATACCAAGAACACCATACAGCTGACACCCAAATCACCCTCCATTTCTCCACATTTCTTTTATCACTTAGTCGTAGCCAAACTGTTAGAAATGAGATGCAAGATCTTATGAGAACACCGAAGTTGTGCATTTCCATCTAACACATGCCAGCCAAATATCTGCTATTTTTTAACATGTAAACAAAATGTGACTCAGATTTTATATGTTTAGAATAGAACGGACAGTTGAGATTGTCCTCCAAACGAAACCAGTTTCTTCTCCATCTAAACTCCCAAACCCAACTTTATTCCTCCCATCTTCCAACCCCACTAATAGACTCCTCTTTTTGTTCTGAATTAAGGAAAACTCTCTCATACTTCTTTGCAAGTCATGGTTTTAAATTGCAGTTGCGGCCGCGGTTGCAGTTACTGCGGTTGCGGGTATTGCGAGTATTGTGATGCGGATTGCGGCTGTTGCGGTGAGAAATTATTAATTATTTGCACTAAATATATTCTGCTCCTTTTATGACTTAACAATTATTTTATTTTTTTTACTATGAATTTTTCTTTTAATTTTTTTATTATATATTTTAAAAAAGTAAATTAACATAAGACATTGCAGTATCTAATTTTTTAAGGTTTAGGATTTATTCCTCCATTAACTTATTTTAAAAAAAATATTGTTAAAATATTTGTTAGAATAATTTATATTTATAAATATTGTTAAAAAATTATCATATAATATATAACTAAAATACTAATATATATATATATATATATATATATAAATATTTTTTCTGTATCTAAATACTTCCGTTTATATAAAAAAAATTTATTTATCTAAATATTTTCTCAGTATCACATATATAAATTAAAAGTAGTTAATTAATATTGAAATTATTTGGATGATTAATTTTTTTATTGATTATTTACACAAATTATTAATAGATTAATTTGTAATAATACACTACAAGAAAATTGTCATATAGTGTGACACACACCCTACAGTAACACTATACATGTCACTAAATATTACTTTTACCCACACAATAACTATAATATATGTTGGTATATTATTAAAAAGTGTGGATATAAGTTATAGTGGCATACGAAATATATTGTTAACTCTCATTTAAAATCACCACTAAAATTGTGTATAACTATATGTCAAATAGGCAAATACTTACATATATTGTATTTATAGTGACACTTTTTGTATGTCACTATATGTAACATTTCATGTAGTGATAATTTAATATTTATATTTTTTTGGGTAGATATTTAATGTTATATAAAAACAATAGTAATAATTGTTTAATATTTTTACTTGGAAAATTGTTAAAAAAATTAATGTATTTGTTAATAAATTTTGTTAACTTATTGATTTAATTAATTAAGTTAAATTACAAATCCTTAATTAGGTACTATCAATATTGTCAAAATTAATATATATATATATATATATATATATATAT